CCATCCATCCATCCATCCATCCATCCATCCATCCATCCATTTCTATCTCATCCACCACCCACCCACTAATATTGGCTTATTTTTATATATGTTCTGAGTATTTATGGTAAGTGGCAAAAAGCTAATGGGCCCTGAAGCAAAGCTGCTGTGGTCTCTCCAGTGCCGAACATCTGGCAAACAAGCAGCTTCGCTCTTCTCCTCGTGTCCACTCTCCCCCTCCCACAACACCTATAAAACAACTTCAGGGGTCATCAAAATACAGCAAACAAGGCCTCTTTCTTTACCTAACACATAAGGGATCTTTTGTTGCCATGCTGTAAAAATCACAAGACATTGATTCTTTGTGAAAAGGTTTACTAGCCACTCCCCAGCAATTCCAATCAACTTTTTTTTTGGTTTGGGCTTTTAGAATTGGCCCATTTATTCTTCTCAGAAGCATTTCTTCTGCAGCACAGTGGGGCCAACCTCCCTGTATTCTTGCTGTGTAACCCACATGTTCCTGAAGGAAGCCAAGCTGGTGAGCACCGATGCGCCAATCCAGACGGAGTGTATCCGGTTTGCTGGGGCTTCCACTTTGGTAGGTAGGCCATGAGGTGCCAGACTTCGCAGCTCTTTGAGAAGACGTTCACTTAGACCTGGAAAGAGAGTAGATCCTCCAGCTATGATAATGTTTTTCCAGAGGTTCTGGTGGATGCTTCCTTCACATTTGAAGATGCTCTCCCCGATCATCTGGTGGATCCCTGGTGCTGTAACTCCAGCATCAGTTGGCTTAAACAGGGATTCAGGAGCTCGGAAGAGCTGATCCCCGATCTTGACCGGCGTGCCATCCGGGAGAGTATATTCTTGAACTGACACTTTGTCCTTCTGGTGGCTCGAATCCAGAGCCACATAGCACAGGTTCTCCTTGATGTTTTTTACTATCTCCTTCTCGGCAGAGCTCAGAAAGCTGTGCCCGCTCTCCAGCAGAAGGGTCGCTAAATATCTAGTGATATCGCGGCCTGCAAAGTTCATCCTAGAAATGGCGTGAAGCAAACAATGGCCTTTGTAGATGGGGACGGTCAGAGTGACTCCGGCACCACTGTCTAAAACTAAACCTGTTGTACGGGCAGAAGCATACAGGGCCATCAAAGCTTGTAGGCCCACAAACATTGCTGGGACCTGGAAATGTTCAAACATGATCTCTGTCATCTTTTCTCGGTTTGCTGTTGGGTTCATTGGTGCTTCAGTCAACAACACCGGCCTCTCGCTGGCTCTTACCTTAAGTCCATGCCTGTAGATGTATCTCCAGATCTTCTCCATATCATCCCAAGATGTCACTATTCCATGTTCTACTGGATATTTAAAAGATAAGATACCCCTTTTGGCTTGGGCTTCCTTGCCAACGTAACACGTTCTCTGAACTGGGCCAAACATAATGGCTCGGGTCTTGGGATAGCCAACAACTGTAGCAACTACAGTCCTGGGAGCTTCCTCCCCAGACAGACCTGCTTTGCAGAGTCCTGACCCGTTGTCGATAATGACAGCGATTCTCGATTGAGACATCTTCAATCAAAAGACAAAGGGCTGAATTTGCAATGATTTTTTCTCAACTCTAGTAGAATGGAATGTTGGGTCAATCTAGATTCTAGATTCTTAGATATCACAAAAGGGAATTTTCCCTTTTCACAACCGGTTTCTCATATTATGTACATATTACAATTATTTCTGGAAACAAGATCTTCTCCAAGAAGCCAGGACCCGTTTTGGAGAGATTGTGAGCATCAACATTGGACATTCAGAGATTATTATTATTATCTGTTGTCTTTCTGTCCCAGGCTCACAAAAGATGTTTCAGGTGACCAAGGATGTAGAGAACCATGATGTTTCTTACCCCTAGATCATAGAAACAACCTTCCAGATCTCAATTTATCCACAATTGTTCATCTGTGGTGTTAAACTGGATTGTGATCTTCTTCTCCATTAAATTTTGCAGATGTTTAATAGGCTTTTAGAGGGCACCAGGAACCCAAAACAGTAGCTTGCATTTTGATCTTTAGTGGTCAGCCAATGGAGACAAACTTGAAGTTTACATCAGAAAAGCACAGTGACATCAAAAGAGAACAATGAAACAGCAAGCCAGTGGAAGAGATAAGATGGGCCTAGCTTTGGTGGCCACCTTCGGTGACCTCTGGATAGACAGCTGAGATAAAAAATCAATAATAGCAGTCATGTAGGCAACCTGTGGATTTTAGATATTTGCCATCATTAGCAGCAATCCTAGCCCCCAAATTAAAGGAATTTTAATCTAAAACATGATGGAAGGTGACAGCTCTCTCTAGTTCCTTGAAGAGCCATCATCTTCTGAAAAATCATCGAGGTAAGGGCACATCTAACCTTGGGGGTGGGGGGCAAACTGTTCCAGAAGGTTAAACTCTAGGTTCTAGCCCTTGATTTCTTCCAGTGAATACTCAGAACCTCTTTTCCTTATTACATTGCTTAAATCTGTGTGTAAATCTGGCCTGGGAATGGTGGGGAGATGAATGAACCATTAAGAGAGAAGGAGGTTTAGAAGAAATCACTCTTGAGAAAGAAGAAAGCATGAGAAAGAAACTTAAAAGAACTCTGACTTAATTTTGTTTGGTATAAGATGCAGTAGAGAGAAACTTTGACAGGTTTTCAAGATTCGGTTATGCCCTACAACAATAAACAGTATTCTCGAAACCCTTACTGCCCATTGCCTGACCTTGCCTACCACGAAGGGTGGACAGGTGGGCAGATGCTACATGAAGAAGACAGTCCAAAGGTAACATGTACCAAAGCTGTAAATGGTTCTATAGGGGATCACCGGCACCTTGAATTCTGGTAAACTGGTCAGCATGTGGCCTACTGAATTCTATGTAATTTTCAAGGGCAGCCCAACATAAGACCAACTGCAGTAGTCTAACCAAGAGATTGCAGTAACACCTGAGAGAGTTCTCTTTCCAGCTGGTAAACCATGGTTTTTATTGCTTCAGTGAATGAGACTCCTTGGCTCAGTTGGCACAGCACGGTTGTTGAATTAATCATAGTCTAGGTGTAATGGTATGTGGGAATAACCCTGGGAGATGGGAGGAAGAGATGCTGCCTAGGGAACAGCCAGATAAGAGGGGGCATAACCCACAGCTGCATAATAGGCAGAGAAAGAGACTCAGGAAGGAAACTCCCTAACTTATCAGGCTGTAAAAGAGACAGCGGGAGATTTGTACTTTCAGACTTGCGAGATTCTGTTAATGTAGCTTTACAATAAAGTAGAATTAGCTCATCTGGTCGTGTTTCCTGTCTGGTCGACCTGGGAAGGCTGACACTAGGTTTGCACAATACACAGAACCTTAAACTAAGCCAACAGGCAAAGTTCACACAGAACCTTAAACTAAGCCACAAAACTGAAAAGATTTAACCAAGATTTAATTCAGTGAGCTAGCACGTTTTGTGAATAGAATTGCTAAGTCTTTAACTGGCCTAGCTTGGCATGGTGTACGAATGCAGCCACCATGAGACAACAAGGGTCTGCATTAAAGAATGGCAAAGTTGAGACCAACCCTATCTCTCCAACTCTACTTCTATTGGGATTAAGAAAAGCCAAATAGCACTTAAGGTATCTAGGCAAGAAATATATTAAATCCAACTGTGGTTCCTTAGGCCTTGAAAAACAATTATTTATTTAACCTTTTAGAAAAGGTGAAAGCCCTTTTTTTTTAATCACCTTTAGCTCTCACCACTGCTGCTATTCTATACTCAAAGCATGTGAAATCTTCCTGTCCCCTCTTTAATAGCATCGTCGGTGGACAATATTTGGTCCATACTCTCGGTAATCTGCAGCAGTGACCCACATCTGCTTGAAGGTGCTCAAGGATGTGATGATAGAAGCCCCGATCCATGCTGAGAACCATCGATCTGGGGGTGCGATGACCTTGATGGGGACACCCTGAGGGGCCTCGCTTTCCAGCCCTTTGAACATCCTCTCATCTAAACCTGGAAAAAGGGAGGAGCCCCCCGAAATCAGTACATTGCAATACAGCACGTTACGGAGGCTGGGGTCACATTTTTTGATGCTTTGGGCAACAAGTCTGTGGAGGCCTTGACCGTTGTGGTTGATGTTTCTTGGGGTGAAAAGGATCTCTGGAGCCAGATAGAGCGGGTCTCCAATTTTGATCCTGTTTCCATCAGGAAGCTTGTATTCTTTGGGGAGCTCTTCTGAGTACTTGCTCTCTCGGTGGCGGGCATCTAGTGTCACAAAACACAACTTGACTTTGATGTCCTCCACAATGTTGTTCGCTTCTGGAAAGTTCCAGAAGTATTGCCTGTTTTCCAGAAGAAGTTCTCTCAGGAACTGCGTGATGTCTCGGCCTCCAAGGTCCAGCCGGCAGACAGCATGGGGCAAACAGTATCCCTCGTATACTGGTACGGCATGGCTGACTCCAAAACCACAATCCATGACTATCCCCGTGTAACGTGCTGAAGCGTACAGCGAGAGGATGGCTTGGATGGAGAGATAGAAGGCAGGTACCTTAAAATATTCAAACATCAGCTGGGTGAGCTTGGCTCGGTCCTCTTTCGGATTCAGTGGAGACTCCGTCATTAGCAGAGGCCTCTCAAATGCTTTCATCCCCAATCCTTTGTCATAGATGTACTTCCAGATCTTCTCCATCTCCTCCCATGAAGTAATAACGCCCGCTTCAATGGGGTATCTCAACGACAGAACTTCCTGCCTGTGTTGGGCTTCAAATCCCACATAGCATTCTTTCTGTTTAGCCTTGGAAAGAGGGAGCTTGCTTCTGGGGCAGCCAAAGACAGTGGCAATGACGTGCCGTGGGCTAATTTCCCCAGAAATCCCAGATTTGCACAGTCCAGAGCCATTGTCAATGATCACAGCTTGTGAACTGGAGATTCGAGCCTTATATGCAAAACCTTCACGGCCCATTTCAGTAGAATGTCTACCTGTTCAGCACCTCACCATGGGCATGGTGTCAAACATTCAAAGGCATATCTTTGGGGGTTTCCTGGGAACAAAAAGACTTCTAGTCTCTCAGCTCTATAGCAGTCTGGAAAAAAAACCCCAGTCTCTCCCATTTGAGAAAATTGGAAAAATTGTCCATGGCCACGACTTAACAATGACTGAGGTCTTGCCTAACAATTGTTTAGTTGTCTCTAGGAGACCAGAAAATTCAAGAGGCACTTTAAAGCTACTTTGATGAAGACAGAAACCTTTCCTCCTAGGCAGGATCCATTATCTTGACCAGGGATGGTCTTCAGATATTTAGAATGATCTCTCCTATGAATAGTCCAATGCAAAATAAAGTCCAAAACATCTCAGGAACATGAGGCTGTCTATCTTCCCATGTCTCTTTCCCCTTCTCCTCTCTAGTTCATCTCTCTCTTCCGTCCACCAAATTATTTTCCCTCCTAATTACTTTAGATTTTTCAAATTCTAAAACATGAAACTGGGAAGATCAGATATAGGAGAAAACAAATGTGTATTTAAGTTTCTCAAGAGCTCAGGAGAATGACCAGATGACCACAAGTTTTAACATCAAAAACTAATCAAAAGATGGGTCATCTTAACATTTAAGAGACGGGTCTCTATCCTATGCTTCCACCATTGTCAAGAATGTAACATACAAAAATTCCTACAAAGTGGATCTTATCCTATAAGGACTGTAAACTGTAAGGACTGTAAACTGTGCTTACAGCACAGTTGTTGTTTAAAAAAAGAATATTGCTAGGAGCTGGAGACAATTGAAGTCAATAGAATGATGTCTGAATGCTCTAGATCAAGAACAAATTAAATAGACTTGATCTTTTAATTAAGAGACAGGGGATGAGTACCCACCTGACAGAATTCCTGCTGCAGGTGGGGAGTGGAAGTACAAAGCAAGATAGATAGATAGATAGATAGATAGATAGATAGATAGATAGATAGATAGATAGATAGATAGATAGAATTCAGAAATGTGTGTCTACTCCCCATCTAGAAAATAAAATTTATAGTCTTGCTTTTGACTGCCAAAAGTCTTTTAAGGACAGACTTTGGATATAATTACACATTTTTTCCAGATTGGCATTACCTCCCTGTTTCTTTCCTTTCTCTGTCTCCCCTGGTGTCTATTTTCTAAATTGGAAGCCTCTTGAGGGCAGTGACCTTCATTCATGATGAGACACCAGGCTTATGAATGGTATAATAACAATAATTATAGTTATAATTATAATAACAGAAATGACAATATGTGTCCTGGGAAGGAAAAAATGAGGTTCTTCTCCTGGTTAAATCCTTTTAATATATTTTTTTTAAAAGGGTGCAGAGTTGAGGGGGGGGGACCCCAAATCATCAGAAAAAGTCAGAAAGAAAAGATCCGGCGTGGAAATTTAAGTAAGGGACTGCTTCAGGGTCAAATGGTGTAAAACACTTTGAAAATTTATTTTAGACAAACAATCTTTTCACTCCTTTATTCACAGGACGCTGGTTGGTGTGATGAAGCTCCTAAAAAGGCTAAAAAGGGGTACATTCATGGGAGCAAAGAGTCCAGATCATGGGGAATAATTGTCCCCATCTTCTCTGGCCTGGTTGGATCCTATTTGAAGTCCTGGGTCTAGTTCTGGACACCAGAGTTCAAACACTGGAATGGTTTCAGAGGTGGGATACCAAGATGGGGAGAGATCCTATGAGGAACAGTTAAAGATCTGGATATGTTTAGCCTACAGAAGAGAAGACTGAAGGGAGAGATTATAAGTCTTCAGATATCTGATGGGTTGATAGATAGAAGAGGGAGTGAACTTGTTCTCTATTGCCCCAGGGGCAGAATCAGAACTAAAGGGTTAAAACTACATGAAAATAGGTTTAAGGTAGACTTCAGGAAGAACTTCCTGACTGTGCAAGCTGTCAACCAGTGGAACAGGCTGCCACAGGAAGTGGTAAGTTCTCCTTTGTTGGAGATCTTCAAAGAGAGGATGGGCGTCTATCAGAGATGCATTGGTGAATCCTGCACTGAGCAGGGATTGAACTAGGTGACCTAAGAACCCTTCCCACTCTATGATTTGATGATTCTTAGAGTCTTTCCTTTGTGTTTTAGAGGTGTATTTGATTTATTGCTGGAGGCAGCAAATGGTGTTCTTGCTGCAGTGGGATGGCGTTTCCTGTTCCATATCTTTCTCTGCAACTTCTCTGACTGCTCTCGAAAAAGTGATTGGAGAAGGAAAAAGAATTCAGGGGGTCTTTTCTGCCCCTCCTTTGTTTCTTTCAGGGACATAATTTATCAACACGCACCTCCAACATGTCTTGTCTCTTCAACCCTCCCCATCTTTCCTCTGCATTTTCAGCTGCCATGGGAAGCAATATTTCTTTATTAAGCAAGGGAAGGATCTAACATGTCTTCTGTAAGACAAAAGACAATGAAGAAAACTCACCATGATCTTTATGACCGTTACTCCATTATCTATTTATTTTTTGCGAATTCTAGCTAGTCCATAAACCCAAAGACCGATTTGATATATACATATACGTACATACATACATATGAGAAATCTGTCTTTGGATTTATTTATCTGTCTTTGGATAGAAACAGCAGAAGTTCAAAGAATTATGTACATTCCACGAATATTCCATGTCCCTGTAATTATTTGAACTTCCACCATTCTAACACATCTACAAGGGGAGATGGTTGGTCCTAAAAACATTTCCGGTGCACCACGCCAGGTCCAAATTCATTGTAATCACTTAGGGTGACCCACATTTGTCTGAACGCTGTCAAGCAAGTCAAAATGGAGGCCCCAATCCACACACAATACTTCCTTTCCGGTGGAGCAATAATCCTCACCGGTATACCAAGAGGCACCTGAAGTTGCATCTCCTGTAAGATGCGCTCATCCAGACCACAGAATAAAGTCGATCCACCTGAAAGGAGAATATTGCCGTAAAGGTCTCGGCGGACATCAATGTCACATTTCATGATGCTGTTGAAGATCATTCGGTGGACGCCCGGCGCATCGATGCCAATGTTGGTGGGAGCAAACAGGGTCTCAGGAGCTCGGAAGAGTTGACTCCCAATCTGGATGATGTTTCCATCTGGTAATTTATACTCTCTTAGAAGATACTCTGGTTTGGTTTTCATTTCTTGGATGGGATCTAAAGCTACGTAACACAGCTTCTCCTTGATGTCCTTCACAATTTCTCTTTCAGCCGTGCTGACGAAGGAATGCCCGCTTTCTAGAAGAAGTCTCATAAAATATTCAGTGATATCCCTTCCGGCAACGTCCAACCTGGAGACTGCATGAGGTAAACAGTACCCTTCATAGATAGGAACTGTGTGAGTGACCCCATCTCCACTGTCCATGACTATGCCGGTGGTACGGGCCGATGCGTAGAGCGCCAGCGTGGCTTGAACGGCAACATACATAGCTGGGACCATGAAGTTCTCAAACATGATCTCAGTCATCCTCTCCCGATTCTGGAGAGGATTCAGTGGGGCTTCGGTGAGCAACACGGGCCTCTCGCTGGATTTGATCCTCAACTCACAGTCATACACGTGCCTCCAGATCCTTTCCATGTCATCCCAGGAGGTCACAATGCCGTGATCGATGGGATAGTTCAACGATAAAACGCCCCGTTTGGACTGAGCTTCTTCCCCGATGTAGTACTCCTTCTGGCCTGCTCCAAGCATAGTTGCTTTGGCTTTTGAACGGCCAACAATTGCTGTAATAACTGATCTTGGAGCGCTATCCCCAGCAATCCCGGCCTTGCACAGTCCAGATCCATTGTCAAAGATCACAGCTGGGATATCTAAAATTTTGGGATCGGACATTCCGTGGACTGTTTCTTGCTCCCCTGAAGAAGTTGTCTGGACAGAGATGGGATTGGAGGCCACCTAGAACACTTGAGAGGAAAGGTTCTAGAGCAGTGATGTCATACACAACATATCTTCTATGCAGAAGGGAACTGCTAGCAGAGGAAGGTGACTTGAGAAGGTGGAAAGATGCTACAGGGTGCTGCTTCCAACACTGGGCATCGTCAGTTAGGAGTTTAGAAAATAACAGTTGATGTCTGGATGGAAGCACTGCACCCACAGTCTACGGAAAAAGGAGAAGTTCACAGGAAGTGTAGCCAAAAGAACTGAAAACATGGAGGACGTTGGGAAGAAGAGATGAGTTCAGGTAGAACCGGTTTGCTTCTTAGCAGCCCGGGGCAGGGACTCCTTATATCCTGGATCAATGTAATTTATTTCCATTACTCTTTCGGTTTTTCTTTTTTTAACCATTGAAGCCAATGGGCCAGTTAATGAGAATTGCAAGGGGAAACCCGTAACAGGTCTTGGGGTTATATTTTAACTGATTCTGTTTACTGCCGTGAATGAAAAGTAGCTGAGCCTTTGGAAAAAAAGAAAAGAAGAAGAAAATTGTGATTTCCAGGGCTTTAATTCTACATTATTTTTCCTTTTTGACCATGACTTGGAAGGATGCTGAAGATGTGAGGTTGAAAAACAAAACAAAACGAAAATTGCATTAAATTAAATAATGAGATTCAAATAGAAGAATAAGTGCATTAAATTAAATCATAACACAGGCATTAAATTAAATAATAAATTAATAATTGCATTAAATTGAATCATAAAATTAATGATAAAATAAAGTAAAATAAAAGTGCCCCCCAAAACACATTTGCAGATAAATGCCTGGAGTGAAGATTTTAATAATAATAATAATAATAATAATAATAGCATTAAATTGAATAATAAAATAAAATAATAAAATCAGGTAAAATAAATGTGGAGCACATTTGCAGATAAATGCCTGGAGTGAAGATTTTAATAATAATAATAATAATAATAATAATAGCATTAAATTGAATAATAAAATAAAATAATAAAATCAGGTAAAATAAATGTGGAGTCCCCAAAGCACATATGCAGATAAAAGCTTGGTGTGAAGATTTTAATAATAATAGTAATTGCATTAAATTGAATCATAAAATTAATGATAAAGTAAAGTAAAATAAAAGTGCCTCCCAAAACACATTTGCAGATAAATGCTTGGAGTGAAGATTTTAATAATAATAATAATAATAATAATAATAGCATTAAATTGAATAATAAAATCAGGTAAAATAAATGTGGAGTCCCAAAGCACATATGCAAATAAAAGCTTGGCATGAAGATTATAATAATAATAATAATAATAATAATAATAGCATTAAATTGAATAATAAAATCAGGTAAAATAAATGTGGAGTCCCAAAGCACATATGCAAATAAAAGCTTGGCATGAAGATTTTAATAATAATAGCAATTGCATTAAATTGAATCGTAAAATAAAATAAGGTAAAATAAAAGTGGAGTCCCTAAAGCACATTTGCAGATAAAAGGTTGGAGTGAAGATTGTAATAATAATAATAATTGCATTACATTGAATAATAAAATAAAGTAATAATAAAATAAGGTAAAATAAATGTGGAGCCCCAAAGCACATTGGCAGACAAAGGCTTGGAGTGAAGATGACAATGATGAAGAAGATGATTTATCTGCTGCCTGACTCCCAGCAATTCCAAGGAGGTTTCTATGAAGAGGGAAAGTTGCATGGAATGAAAATCCATTGGCCCCTAAACTTAGTTGTAGCCCCAAATCAAGATACACAAGTTACGGAGTGGTGCAAAACCTGTTGTAGAGCAGAAGAAAATACAGGCGTGAAGTTTGTTACCAAAACAGAAGGTCCTGGGGAGGAGTTTTGCTCAGTGTCTTAGTTTAGTGGAACTTGCAGAATGTGCCTTGGAAAGCTATCCGGTCTGGTGGTGGAATATAAACTAGCACAAAAATATTAAAAAGGCAACAGTGAATCCATCAGGAATGATCTCGCAATTATATTTTAATTGCTTCCCCCGATAGCCTGAAGTTACGGGCAGCTTCAAAGAGAGGGTGACCTTCCATAAACAGAATGACTCTCCAGTGAAGTCGCCAAGGAGCAACATTTCATTAAAAGGAGCCACCAAGCCAAAGCAGGACTCAGCTGAAAGTTAAATGAACAGACACTCCAAAGTCCTTGTACCCTGTGAACTTGGGGTCTCAGGAAGAACTAACGTAGCTATCAAAACTGTCCGTCTGATTTTGAACCCAGGAAACGCCACTCACTTTATCCAAGATGCTCTTAGCTTCTTGAGAAGCTTCTCAGAAGTCGTTCATTGTGCAGGAAACTGGTTCATCCTGCCTAAGTTCAGATCTTGTGCTCAGCTGTGATTGTTGGGATCGTCATCCCTGTTGACTAAGCACTTTTTTTCAGTAAGGTCCTCGTCCAAAGGAGTGAGTACTGGTAAAAAAAAACATGAATCTGAAGAGCCAGATCTAACTTTTAAGCACCAGCAACCTCTCCTGCAATCCTCAGTTCTGAACCTTGCAGAGACAGATAGCTTTCAAGACCTCGAGAGCGCTGCAGTAGGCGTGTTGAACCCCAAAGGTTTAAGAGGCAGAATGCCAGATTGCTCAGAGGAATAGCTGAGGAGTAACGGCCTACTCCCAAGGAGCTTGGCACATGTAATCATGTTTGACCAACACTGACTGTGCTTGGATGACAGGCCAGGAACTTCCAAACACAGCTTCCGAAGGTTGAGAGCCGTCAAACACTGAAATAACATTTGTTTTATGCAGAATTGGCTGGCATCGTTAATTTCAAATTCATGCCTATATCCTCACTATTTGGAGAGCTTCATCTCCCGGCTAAAATTCCACCTGTGGCAGGAGACAGGTGGTACCACCAACCAGAGCAAAGAAAAAACCAACATTAAACTCAATAGATGTATCTTCCATGTATTTAACTAATCCCCCAATTAAGCCGTCAAAGTCAGCGGCCATTGCCCCGTCTTGTGGCAAGGAATTCCACTGGTTAATTCTGCACAAAGCTTTCGGTTGTCTGTTCTAAAACTCCTTCCAAGCCTGCTTCATGGATAAGCCCTGATCTAGATGTTTTGCGAGAGGGAGAAAATCTTTTCCTGTCTCTCCGTTCCAAGATGCATGCCACGTAGACATAGGATACAGGATATGGATATATTTCATTCCATTTGCAGAGCTAACTTGCCTCATCTCTCTCTTTTTCCCTTTTTATTACGCTGTTGTACTTTTTAATACATTCTATTGTTCCAACAGAGCGTTTATCTCATCGGATTAAGGATTATTAACCCTCCTTTATTTAGCAAGCTTAGAACATGGAGCAGAGAAAAAAAATATTATGTCAGTACTCATTACAATTTAGGATGCCACTATTCCAAGCATAACATTATTTGGCTTCTTCATCCAAAAGTTGAGTATAGCATTGAAAAGATGTTTGACTATGACTCACATCTGAGTATTGGTTGTATAATAGATGCTTCGATCTTAAACTGATTACGCAATATTAAAATCGCCATTGTACTGTCACTTAGTGTGTCGGGGTGTGTGTGCATAACATGTTCATGAAAGGGAAAAATAGATAAAAAATAAACCCTCCTCTCTTGATGGCTGCTGATATGTAGGATTGGACCAGAATTCTTCGCGTTCAAAAGGCAGGCTAAGTTTTTCAGTTGTCATCTTCCTTTTTTTCCAAATAATTTCAGCCAAAGCAATCGGTGTGTTGCTTCCGCTGCCTCTGGGCACAACCCGCCTCTAAGCAATGGCCAGACACAAGCTATAAACAGTTTTATAAGCTATTTATAAAGCACACTTTACTTGCTCTGATTCGAGAATGGCTGAGCACGCAAGTTTCCACTTCAGGAACTGGATATAGCTTTATGCATTTATTGACCAGTCTCGCTCTTAAAAACACAAACACACGTGCCGGCTCTTCCCCCTACATTTATAGTCCTTCTGCCAGGCATCGGTTCCCTTAGCTTAGTTTTAAAAAAAAATCATCACCCTCATCTTTACAGACATCACCATCATTATGCAAAAGTGATATGTCTACAAACGGACCTCCAGATTCATTCCGTCTGGAACTTGGTGTGAATTTACCTCGTTTGGCACGCCCCAGATTCGACCCAGCATGGAGTGAGGTGCTAGATTTCTCCAAATGTGGCGTTTCAAATGCGGCAACTGGCACTCCACCCTTTTCAAAAGCACCCCCCGACTCTTTCTGCCTTCAGGTGGCTTACAAATATTTTATATAAAATTATAAAGGTACTTAAAGGCAGACCCACAAAGAAGTGTGCATTAGAAAGAAGTAGACCCAAAAGGTCTTTGTATTATGGGAAATCAATGGCAAAATCCGAGGTTCAAAATAGCTTGGCGTGATCTTAAATGTTGGAAAATGAGAAATTTGGGGAAACCATTGCTAGCAACTTCATTTTTTCCCCTCACTGAAATAATAATAATAATAATAATAATAATAATAATAATAATAATAATAATAATAGCCTTTAACACCATCAAACAACATCTGCCTGTCCCAGGTCCTCAGGAAGGACTAGATAGGTGGACAACAATGCCAAATCCAGTCTAAACATCTGGCTGACTCTGCAACCAACCATAATAATACTTCAAACAACGTCTGCCCATCCCAGGTCCTTGGGAAGGACTTGATAGGTGGATAAAAATTTAATCAAAAGAAAAGAAAAAGATATGAGCAGAGTGTCACCAAAATCAGTCTTGCTGTATGGTTGCTTCTTCTGGAACTCCTCTGCTGATGCCACTTGTCCCTACTTGGCGCAGAGGACTTTTGAAGAAATCTCTTTTGGATACATCAGATGAACTCCAGGTTTGCAAAACCGAGATGCTCTTTGCTTGTAATTTCTACCAGAGTCCCCAGATCTGATTCTATTGTCACCTGGTTTTGCTAACAACTGAGTGGGGGCCAGCAAGAACCACAAGAGACTCCCTCATTTATTTACCGAAGACATGCTTAACGTTCTAGAAGGAAAATGTGGGATTGGGATGGGGACATAAACTAATTTACTTCCTTCCTTCCTTCCTTCCTTCCTTCCTTCCTTCCTTCCTTCCTTCCTTCCTTCCTTCCCTACTAACTTATTTAGAAAGGAAAAAGGGATAAAAAAGAATTGAGCCTCCTGGATAGAGGACAAAATGGAGAAGAGGAGGCAAATGGAGAAACATTTATTCCTCTCTCCCCAAAACATCCACACCAGAGGGGAAGAGAGTAGAAAACAAATTATAAACCGCACAAATAAAATGATACAGGGAGAGAAGGTGGAGCGGGGGGAGAAACCAAACCTATAGCATTATCCTTTTATGGGAAACTTAAATTACTGATTTGGTAACTTGCAAATCCCCAAGGATTCCTGAGACAAGGCCATCTACTTTTTAAACCCATTACGTCCATCTGCCATCTCTGGAGGGAGCGTGGCTCTAATCATACGCGCGGAAAGTAATAAAACCCTTCTGCTCGAGATGAACAAACAGAAAGGTAAAGCTCCAAGGAGCCCAGATTTAATTCCAAAGAATCTGGGAAAAAATGGCACTTCCAGCTGCATATATTATTTCCCACTTTGGGGAAATAGTCAGGGTTTTTCTTCCTCCTCCTTTCAAAAGTGTGTAATATTTGCATACCACACTTGGCTGAAGATCTACATGCTTAAGGTCCCGCATGGAAACCGCACACAAACAGTTTAGTGAATCAGACCTGAACTGCCTCTTCCCTTCCCCCAACACACTTCTATTCTTGTGTTTCCTGCTTCTCAAATATTGGAAGCTTCTCCAGGATGCTTATGGACATCTACAACAGAAAGAAGAAGAAGGAAGAGAAGTAAGTTTTTTATTAGGTGTAGCTTCCAACTGGAAAACTTCCTCAATCCTCAATGTTGCAGGATACCCTTCCCTCCTAACCAGTATATTACTGTACAAGGATCATAAAACCAACCGTGTCTCTCTTCGGCATGTTCCATTGCATAGTAGGGGCATGAGCAAAGGAAACAAAACATTTGTTCTGAGCTAAGAACCAAATGTTCCAGCTAGGAATCAATGAGAACTCCAAAGAAGCCTCTGACTCCCTAAATTTTTGTCTAGAGCTAGGGAAGGAGGAGAGCTTAGTAGTGTGAGCTGTATGCTACCGATTACGAACTTATGGAAAAATTGACCCAGATGATTTTTTTTAAAAAAAGTTTAAACGACTGAACATTTGCATTGCAAACTGTAATGGGTTGTGAGAATATCACTGAGGAATGGAGGAAGAGCTGCAGCCGAGGCAACAGTCAGATAAGAAAAATCTGAGTCCAAAGCAGGAGCGTCTCAGACCTGACCCTTCCTAATTCTGACAAAGATGGAGGGGGGAGGCACATTCAGTTGCAAGATTCTATTACTGTAACTATAATAAAAGTAGTATTAACATTCATAACTTTGACTTCCTAGTCTGGTCTACCTCGGAGGGCTGACACAAACAAATGGAAGCAACAATTAATGATCCTTTTTGTAGCTTGCCTACACAATTAAAAAAATCATCCTCATACCCAGTTTTTCTGTAGATGGTGCACTATTTTTGTAGCCCTAGGATGGAAAATGAGGGAACAAACATCTGGTTTCAGCTTCAGTCTTGTTGGCACTCATCCCAAAGTTGACTAATGAAATTGCCACAAGAACAAAATAGTTGTTCAGCTACACCACCAGCAAAGTCAAGTATAAGAGCTGTGAGGAAGCTCCTCCTGACCCTGTGTCGAAAACTGCTTTGCAATTTTTTAGAGGCTTTTTTCTCCCCTTGCAAAGAATTCTTCTGTTTTTCTTCCTCATTCTCAGATGCTTCAACAACCATTTCCAGTGGTTGGTTTTCTTTCAGTGTGGTGGCGGTAGTGGGATATTTGCATTTAGTTCATTGTTGGTGAAAGAGTATCACCAGGCATGAGAAGCTAGGGAAGCTGTAGAGGGCTGGAGAAAGATGTTGCTATGTGTCCCACATCTCCCCATCCCTCTCCAGCCTACCTGGCTGCCCTTCCCTCCTGATCTGAAAAAGCCCCATAGAAGAACTTCCTTTGGATTGAGCGGAAGGGAGAGAAGTCTGGGAGGCTGCAGGCGGCTGGAGAGAAGATGCTGGTTGTGTTTTATTGTTCTGTGTCTTCCCATCCATCTCAGCCTCCCTGGCTGCCCTTTCTGGCAGATGTGAAAATGTCTCATGGGCAAATTCCCTTGGGATTGAATGGAAGTGAAGGAAGCCAGGGAGGCTGCAGATGGCTGAAGAGAAGATGGTTGTTGTGTTTTTCTGTTCTGTGTCTTCCCATCCCTCTCCAGCTTCCCTGGCTGCCCTCCCTTTCTTTCTGAAAAAGTCCATTGAAGAAATTCCTTTGGGATTGAATGGAGGGGGGGAAGCGAGAGAGGCTAGAGAGGGCTGGAGAAAGGATGTTCACTGTGTTCCTCTGTCCCTCATCTTCCCATCCCTCCCCAGCCTCCCTGGCTGCCCTTTCCTCCTGATCTGAAAAAGTCCAATAGGAGAAAGTCCCTTGGGACTGAATTGAGGGGGGAAACCAGGGAGGCTGGAGATGGATCAAGAAAGGGTGATCATTGTGTTTTTCTGTTCCACATCTTCCATCACTCTCCAGCCTCCCTGGGTGCCGTTTATTATAATCTGAAAAAGTCCCATAGGAGAATTTTCCTTGGGATTCAATGGAAGTGTTGGAAGCCAGGGAGGCTGTAGATGGCCAAAGAGAGGATGTTGTGTGTTTCTCTCCCAGATCTTCCCATCCCTCTCCACCCTCCCTGGCTGCCTTTCCTTCCTCCTCTGAAAAAGTCCCATAGAAGAAATTCCTATGGATGAAAAGGAAGGGGGAAAGCCAGGGAGGCTGCAGAGGGCTGGAGAGAAGTCTTTAAGCCTTGTCCTCAAATAAGAACACTGCGCATCTCCCAGGAGAATTTCACCAAAATCTTATTCTTTTTTGGAAGATTGTTTTTTTTCCCCTCAAAAAGGAAGTAGTCTTTCACCAAAGCAGGATGATTGCTTTAGTAGAAAAAGCAAATTTAGGAGCATTTTCCTTTCCCACACTCTCCACCTCCTTGAAAAGTAAGCTCCTTTCCCTTCCACACCACGATATATAAACTCCATCTCCTTCCAGCATCAAGGGGGGATGCGGGGAGAGCTTTTCCGAAGATGTTTACTTAGCCCTTTCTAAATATTTAAAATCTACTGGCCAAATGAAAAACTAAACCGTCAGGATCTTTCCTTACTCGGATTCCTGGCTGAGGCCAGAACACGAAGGGTAAAACTTGGCTATATAAACAGGAATCGGATAGTTTTCGAACGTCTCCAAAAGGCCTGGAGGTGGGAAGGGAGGAAACAGATATGTCAGCCAAGATTATGGGGCTACAGGACTCTCTTTGGTTTGGAAGACCGGCTTGAAGATACACGTTGGGTTTTGGGGATGCTTCTGTACCCCGATACTGACTTCCCCCCGGAGCACCGTGGATCTGTTTCTTGGAAGGACATCAGTGGAAACGGTTGGCCAGCAGCTGTTGAAAAAAATCCAGGCATTTTTCTTCAGTATCTGGAGAAGATACTAGAAGCTTGGAAGAAGTCCCATTCAGTTTGATGGGACTGAACTCCAGGTCAGTGTTTTTTATCTAACATTTCTTCATTTGATTTCAATATAATTTCTATTCCCCTGAGCCCTCTCTGTCTATTTACACCGGGCAGAAGGTTGCACGCACGCGCACACACACACACACACACAGATACACAATTGGTATTTCTCTTTACCGCTCACACTTGGAAGGCAAGACGAACTTCAGCAGATCAGGGGAAGAGCTTGCATGTCCATTCAAACAACCGCCTAACCTAGATTAGAGGTGAGTGTGTGGGTATGTGTGGGTATGTGTGAGACTTAACATGTCTTTTGAATCCAGTCTGTTGGATTAGTTGTGGTTCAACAGATTGTGCAAATCTTTGAAAATGGCTTCAGGAGGCACACTGATTGATTATGTGCTATCAAGTCTTGTTGACTCTTAGCAACCACATAGATAGATTTTCTCCAGGATGATTTCTAATATATTTTATTTCTTCCTTTGTTGCCTCTCTGACTTGCAACAAAGGAAAAATCCATGTGAGTCTCCCTTCCTTGAGACAACCATCCACTGAAGAAGTCCCTGGTCCACCCAAACATGATATGGAAAAGGTAACCTGGGTGTTCTTGTCCTGTCCAACACCTTAACTACTGTACCGGTGATTCAAATGATGGGTAATCTACCATTTGCAGTGATTCCCAACTTTGGCATCTTCCAGATGTCTAGACTTCCATTCCCAGCATTCCCCAGCCAGCATGGGCCACCTTGGAGAATTCTGGGAGTTGAAGTCTACCCAACTGGAAGTTGCTCCAGCCTTCTCTTGGTGGGACAGTTGGAGTCAATCGTCCTCTGGTTATAGACATCTCTGCTGCTCCATACACCAGTGAAGGTGGAACCATTTCTCAAAAGTTGTGAGTCTGGACTCCAGGGTAAAATGCTTGAAGGACGCTGAGCAGGGGGTGGCTGAACTAGCAAAGCAAATCCTTTTTCTCCCCATCTGCTTCTTCAGGGGCAACCTACAGGTCAAGCAGGAGGCCCAGCACAGTCTTTCAGAAGGAGATACCAGCCTTTTCTAAATCCAAGGTGATGTGTGGCTCGACACTGTGCTTTGCAGAGACAAAATACATATTTGCCCAGAAAATATGCGTGCCAATTGCCTTTTTCTGGAGGCATAGGCTTGGTTTCCTCCCCAGGTCTCTAATCAGGTGTGACAACTTTGTACACCCAGGGTGTTCCTTGGCTGTGGTGTGGGCACTTTCTACAATCCGTTCTCCGCTTCCTTCCTGGATCAGCTGGAGGTAGACTAGGCTGGCATTCTCCTTCAACTCTGACAGCCCCAAATGATGCAAACTCCTCATGGTTATTTGCAAGGCAGTTTTGGAGCGTGCCAGCTGTTAACATTCCTTTGCAAAGATGTATATTTGCAACCCCCCGGCCCCGGGCCTTCTTTAAAATACTTTGCCATCCACAACCAGATTAGCACACCCTTGAAAGAAAATCGTAGAGAGCATGAATCTCTGTGTAGTTATCATGTCCTGCTTCTAGACTGGCTGAGCCTGCCGTTTTTCCTCTTTTTCAAAGAAACGAAAAAGCTTTAAACTGTTCCAGGCCTTTGGAATGCTTAACGTTTAGGCTAAACACCTTCCCACTTTCCACGGATGTATCCGAATTCTTCCATTCTTTAGTATCTGCTCATCCTCTCTCGATGCTTTCCCTTCTCAACGCCTGTCCTCCTCCCGTCCCCTCCGTTGATCGATTTTTTAATCAATATTTTTAACAAAAGAATAAAAGCCCTTTGAATAAAATGGGCCCAAATGTGCATGAAAAGGACATATTTTAAGGGATAAAA